AGAGGGGCCTCCAGCTGTTCCTGTCGGTCAGATGGCCAGTATTTCCCTTCTGAGAGGGCGTGTTTGCTGAAGCAGCGTTTTAGCACCAGATTAGCACCTGATGCGTTAGTGCTCTTATCACGAGCAATGTTTGCCATCCCGGGCCAGGCAGCACGGTTACCATCTCGGGTCCCCTGCTCGCTGCTCTTGGTCTGTCCTCTCACTGTAACCTGCACTTTAACCACACAAGAGGGCCAGAGCAGTCAGGCTTCAGAAATCCCTGGTCCCTGAGCTCCACTGATTTCTCTTCACTGGTATCTGTCCCCTGCCTGCCTCTTTTTCCATCCCAGAACCAATATTTCAAAGAATTTCAGTTCTTGGGCACATCATGATTGTTCAATTAATGTTTGATAATGTGATTTCAGTCACTAGACATACAGGCACCTTCCAGGGGGCAGCAATTCCCACCACAGAATGTCAGGCCCAGCAGGGAACCTGCAAGCCACACAGGAGCCCTTCGTTCTGTAGATGGGGAAACCGAGGCACAGAAAGTGAAGTGACTCACCCCTGTTTCCACCTGGTTATTTATCATCTTTACTGAGACTTCCTACTTTCCATCCACACAGCACCGTGATCACGAAACACGCCTCTTGTTCCCTGCAAGATCAGCATGTTCTAAGTTTTGAACCAAATATTTAAAAAGCTGGCAAATAAAAAACTAGAATTTCTTTGTTTGCCCAGACAGTTCACCCAAGATTTCGTAAACCTGGCCGTGTGCCAGAATTATTACCTGGGCGACCTTCCAAGTGCAATTTCTCTACCAAGTCAGATCTGGGCTAGGCGGGATGTGAGACTGTCTGCGGGCTACTGGTTTGGGGTTCGTTTTGTCTGTTTCTCCCAGTGATTTTGCTGCATATCGGTTTGGAGACTGCGGACCTGATGGGTGTCCACTCCTTAGGGACACCACAGGGGAAGGGCAGGGAGGAGGTGCCTCGAGATATCTGAGAAGGATGAGGCTCCTGGGATCGCAGCTGAAGTCACCCGTCAGAACACGAGTTCCCGGTAGGAACCTGCAGTCATTGGAATGCTGAATACAAAGCCCACCTGCTAGACCATTGGGGGTGAATCCACCTGGGCCCGCATGCCCTGCCCCCGGGCAGTGTCCCCACACACCGCCCCTTCTGGCATGTGAACAGCTGTGCCACTGGGGCCAAGCCTCAGAGGGCAGCAGAGCAGCGATCACAAGGCACGTGTAACCTAAAACCTACAGACCGAAGTAGACACACTCTCGTCAACATGTAGTTCTAGCACTTTGTCTTCTGGCTCTAATTCCCTCTTACTGCTTCTTTCCAAGTAAGTCCATGAGTTCTGGGAATGTCCAGAACTGCACATGCCCAGGACCAGGATGGGTTTACCGTGAGTAACCTGCCAAGCCACAGTTCATGCAGTTCAGTTGGTTCAGGCCACCAAGCAACCTCCTTGTCACTCGGCGTAATGACCCGACTCTAATTCCAGGGAAGGCAGCGCAGCATGGGCTCCTGGGCGCGGGTGCACCACCGGTGCGGGACTCGTGCCAACAGGGGGTGAGCCCCAGCTGTGCACCTACCCTGGGCCAGTCACACGGCCTTTGTGTGCAAAATGGGGCTGGGGCAGCTCCCGCTGGCTCAGATTGAGATAATGCACAGAAAGCACCCGGTTGCTTTTATTTAACGTCACCCTGTAAGCATGTAAGCCACGGCTTCAGGGCACACGTGAGGCCACATCCCTCCCGGGACAGTGGGTCCCTGTCAAAGCGAACAGAGAGGGACCGGCTCCCCAGCCTTCCCGGCCCCTGCTGCCCCAGCACCCTCCGGAAACCGCAAAAATGCCCGGGTCCATGCTTCTGCTGCCACTGTGGCACTGGGACACCCGGTGTGTCATTTCTGCAAATCCCTGGGCATCCAGGAGACTTCAAGCCTGGCGGGGTGACCAGCCCCAACAGGGCCTGTGGGCGACGTCCCCTTCACAGAAGGGCGTTGCTTCAGAACTTAGTTTATAAGCTCTGCCTGCAACTTGAGGCCAGAGCATGGGGGTTTCACATCACACATGAAAGGCCCTGGGCGGGGCGGGGCGGGGGCACATCCAGCCAATTCTGCAAATTTGCTCTCAAATGTTTCTACCAGGAAGGGCCACAAAGTCACAAAGAAAGGCCCAGGCTATTCAAGCACTCAAAGCTTTTGTATTTAAAAATAAGAAGGGGCTGGCCGGTTTAGGGGATTTATAAGTTAGCTGAAAATCAGGGCAGGGACTCCTAGGCCAGGACTTGCTGACAGCTATGATCTCAACGCAAGTCCTCAGGACCCTCTTCTAGAAGGGGAGGGGGGAGGGCTCTCCGTAAACCTGGGACACTGAGAGCTGGCTGGTGGTTCAGGGAACTAGCCGGGGCCACCAGCAGGCAGGGGACCCCGTGTGGGAGGTGGACACAAGTTGTAGCTGCAGGGTCCGAGAGAGGGCAGGCAGGCCGCGGGAAGAAAGCCCCAGGCCTCTCGGAGGCCAAGCAGAATGGAGCCCCAAGTGCTCCCCCCTCAAGGGCCACCTGGCCTCCCTTGCTGAAAACCTGTGGCCACTTAGAGCTACATGGAGTCCCGTTTCAGCGCCTAGGCCCTTGTGAGCATTTTGATTCTTCATCCATGAGGTGTCTGGGGGAGGCTGGCTGAGCGGAAGGAGGGGGCACCCAGGACGGCAGGGCTGCCCGGACGCGTCTGGGCCACGGTCCCCTCACAGAATCCAGGCCTGTCCAAGCACACTCGCCAGGCTGACCAAACGTTGTCCCCGGCAGCCAGGGGCCCAGCTGGGCCATCGTTCAACACTGTGTGGTTGGTGTTTGAATAAAGCAGAAAGAGCCCCAGTTCGGAGCCTGGGCCTGGGGTCTGACCCCAGCTGGACTTGCAGCCTGGCCATAAGGAAGCCCCACACCTCTCTCTACAGTCTCTGTCTCTGCGAATTTCTGATTTATTTTGCAGAGAAATTACCAGAAGCCTTTTTATCTCCCGACAACCCAGTCCAAAGTGTGACCCGAACCATTTCCGAGCATGCGGTAAGAAACACAGATTCCTGGGCCAGCCCCAGACCAACTGAAACAGATGCTCTGGGAAAAATGACCAAGAAACTCTGCACTTTAACAAACTCTCCCGTGATTCTCAAGCACCCTGAGGAGCGAAAGTCGCTGACCTCAAGGATAAGAGTCCAGACTCCTCAGTGTGGCTCCAGGGCCTGTACAACTCACCTTCTGAGTCCCATTCCCAGCACTCCTCTGCTCTGACACCACTGGCTGACATTGAGGTCCCCACGCCACAGGCCAGGCCCTGGGCTGATCAAATGCACCCGTTAAGCCCCCAGGGCATCTCTACCAGCAACTCTGTGAGGCCGAGGCTCCCAGAGGGTAACTCAGCCAACATCACACAGGGAGTATGATGCTGAGGCCAGATGCACATTCCAGCCGTGGGACTGCAGAACCCTCGCTGTCAACCGTCCCCAGCATACCGTGCTCCACACGCCCTCGGACGTGCCCAGAATCGGCACCTGTGTGCCCCTGCTCAGCGTGGCCTCTTGGCCCACATGCCTCACGACGCCCTTACCCTTTGCAAATATGTAGACTTCAAATGTTTCACTTGGCCACCAAACTTCCATGGGGCCCACCAAGGAGAATGGCTACTCCCTCCCTCGCAGTCCGACTGTCCTTGGTTCAGATCACTGCTTCAGCGCGGTGAAAACTGCACTGTGTGTGTCCATGCTCCAGCCTCCTTTATGAGGATGTTTAGGGCAGTGAAACTGCTCCGTATGTCACTACACTGGCGGAGGCCTGTCATCATACACTTGTCCACGGCCACGGAGCACAGCACCCCAAAAGTGAACTGTACACAATGGACACCTGTCCTTCTAGGTCAGCAGCTGTGACCGATATCCCATCTGGGAGGCCTGCCCACAGTCAGGGAGGCAGGGCTCGTGGAGGGCAGGGGGTACATGGAAACTGAGCTTCACACTCACTTTTGCTGTGTACCTAAAATTGCTCTAAAAATGGTCTATATTCACATGTTTAAAACCCCTAAGGCTGTTATCCATGTCGCAGCCACATGGGCGGGCGGCTAGAAGAGGCCAAGTGCATGCTAAAGATGAATATGCAGGGCAGCCGCTTCCCCCCGGGGCTGAGGACAGCATCTGAGGAGGCCCCCAGCGGGGACAGGAGACCAGGAGGAGACCCCAGGGGGGTGGGGGGTCAAGCACAGGAACCCAGAGGGAGGGAGCCTCTCAGGACAGGGAGAGAGACTGGGGCTGTGCCGCCAGCCCCAAGGACAAGCCGAGGAAGGGACCTGGTCTGCACCCCTGCCACTGCCAGAGACGGGGAGGGCAAAGCACAGAGGCAGGAGCCGGAGGGAGGGAAGCGGGACAGAGGCCGGGCAGAGGGTGGGGCAAGCTGGAGTGGCCCGCGGCTTTGCGCACAAGGGCTTCGGAGCCCAGCCATTCCGGCAGGGGGGCTGGACAGCACTGGGAGGGGAAGGAGGCCCGTGCAGTCAGTCCCTGTGGGCCGGGAGGCAGATTCTAGGAGCACCAGGGGACCCTCATCACCCAGTCACAACGCAAAGGGGAAGAAAACTGGCCGGTGGATTACACTGCGGGAACCCAGACTGGAACCTCCTGGGGAACGATCCCAAGAGACGTTTCAATGGCAATTCTGATGCCAGGGATCAAAGTGTATGACACAAGTTTTAGAAGCACGGCAATTAATGATTTGTCTTCGAAGGAAAATCTGGAAGAAAAAATTCAGAACTACCAGCTGTATAGTAATGGCACGGAGCAGACCAAAGAGACAGAAATCCCACACATTTAGAGATGAAGTGACAGCAGAAGAGGCCTTGCACTCTTTATGTTGACTACATACGAGGTTAGAAAGATCACTCGGTCACTCTGCCACTGTGTGCCCACAATTCACACCAGACTTGGCATTAGACACCCTTGGGTCGCAAACCCAGCTCTCCACTTACCAGCTCTGCGGACTTGGGTGTTGCTCAGTCTCACTGAGGCTCGGCTTCCTTACCTGTGAAAAAGAAAGAATAGCACTTAGCTAATAGGGTTGCTGTTAGGACTGCGTGACATAAAATACAGGAAGTGCTGTAGAACAGTGGCTGGCAGAAAGGGTCTATAAGTGACAGTGTGGCAGTGGCTTCACTGCTGCTATGATACAACCTCGTGCAGACACCCCTCCCATACCCATGGCCCACCCCCCAAGGGAGTCAACTAGAGCCCCTGCAAATCTCCCCCTCAGTCTTCCGGGGGCAACCAGATGGACCCACACACTCAGCTGTCGTGCACAGTGATGCGGGAGCTGTGGGCTCCAGCCAGATGGAGCCGGAAGCTTGGAGACAGACTGAAAACATGTCAGGGCTCAGTGTCAGGGCCATGGCTGGCTTTTGCTAAGACACAGATGAAACTGGAAGTGAAGTTAGAAGTAAAAATGTTATGAGAGAGAAATCAAGCAGTCCTGAGAGGTGGGAGTCAGGGACTGAGGAAAAACAACGGGCGGGAAGACAAATAGAAGCCCTGACCAACCAACAGAGGCGCTGACAGATGCCCGCTGAGTCGGGGAGGAGATTGGAGGGGGGGTGGCATCTAGGAGGAGCAGGGCCGGAGCTGGGCGTACAGCAGGGCCCCGGCCCCTGGGACAGGGACAAAGGCAGTCCGACCTTTCCTTCGAACTTGTCAACAATTTCTTTTACAAACTTTAAAACCCGTGCATACTGCTGCCCTACACGTCTGCTCCCCACTCTGTGCTGTCCCCAAGCAGACCTGTCACACACAGCACACCAGACAAAAAGCTGTGGAGGTGTTCCAGTAAGAAAGATCCCAAGCAGGACGAGTACTTTTAGGGCAGTTGTTCCACAGGGACGGGACGGCGCTCACGGGAGTGTCTGCAGTGTGAGCAGCGAGTGGGCAGCCCTGGCCTCTGGCCCCACCTCAGCCGCAGACTAGTTGTGCCGCCCTGGACAGCTGACTTAACCTAGCCAGGCATCTCTCTGTAAATCTGCACGATGGGGAGGCGGAACTGAATGTTTTCCAAGCGTGGTTGCTGCGCTGCCAACATTCTAGATCCTGTGGTTCTTTGAACCCCTAGTTATTTCTACATCCGACTTTCTCACAGCAGCCAAACAGTATTGCCAGCCGTCTTGCCAGCCACGTCAACAATATTTTATTTATTATATTACTATGAAGTGAATAGGTTATTTATCATCTCCCAGTACAACCTGTACTTGAGTACAATTCCAACATGCATAATAATTCTCTCCTCCCTTGAACTCCCAAAGCACGGCCATCTAGACGCCACGCAGTGTACTTCTCACCCTCTGCTTCCTGCTGGGTTATTCAGGAAAATGCCTTCTGTCCGTTACCAGATGTTAAGCTCCCTGGATGCTACCTGGAGACCCAACTACCGGGAGAAAGCAGAACGGAGCTTCCGCCTCTGCAGTCCTCAGAGCCCAGGACAGCACCCTGCCCACACCTGAGCTCTGTGGGTGTTGGAGAGAAGGCAAAACATGAAGGGACTCGTCGGATGAGCCGAGTAAGGCCCCCACCCTTTGCTCCACCCCCAACACAGCAGCACGGCCAACCTAGAGCCTCTGCCTGGACCTGGCAGACACTGAGCCGACATCATGGCAAATGGCCCCCAAGGGTTTGGGGAGATGGCCAAACACACACACGAGGCGCTGCGGAGCGGGTGCATCAGGGGAAACAGGGAGTGGAGCCCCCACGGTTCCCAGGCAGCAAACGTGCTCAGGCGTCACCTGTGGTGGCACAAAGGGACTGGGGTGTGGAGCTGAAGGAACCAGGTCTCACCGGCCGGCAAAGCTTCTTCTCAGCAGAGCAATGAGGGCGAGGGCAGAAGAGGGCGAGAGGGGGACAGTCAAGCGCTCTCTCAAGACAAAGGCCCCCCCCAGCCATATTTTCTAATCATCCTGCACAGAGTTCAGAGGGGACCCGTGGTTCCATTTCCACGAGATCTCAGTCCTCCAACGTCCCGGCAGCTCGCTTGAGCGCCCTGTGCTCCACCGCCTCCCAGTCCCGGTCCAGGGAAGTGCAGCCCCGGGATCCCTGCGGGCGCTCCGCGTCCCTGCTGAGCGTCCGCCTCCAGATGCGCTCTTCGCCCTGACCCCGGGCCAGCCTCCGACCTGCCTCCAGCGGCCTCGCTGCCCTGCACAGCCCGGACACCCCTGCCAGCGGGACCCTGGTCTGCTCTGGCACAGGCCCTCTCCTCCTTGCCTCCTGCCTCTCCACCCACAGGGCAGCCGCCCTCTGCTAGGCCGCCTGGCATTTCAGGCCCCTCCCTCCTTCGCTCCCTTCCTCGTCCAAGACCAACGCCTATTCTAGAGACAGGCTGGGTTAGGACCCCCCTGGTGTCTGATTTAGGGCATCTCACTAACGGCAATCAGGTGTCTGCTAGTCTTCAGTCCCGGGCTGAATTTTCATTTGCGTTGACCTGCTAGTTCCCACTGTGCGCACAGAAGGGGTTCCCTCAGCTGAGCCCAGAGCACCCAGTGGCCTCCCATGCCTGCCGCTGCCCTGTCCCAGCAGCCACCACAGCCTGGGACTCCAAGGCCCTTGCCACGGCAGGGAAGGAGAGGCTGTGCAGGGGGTGGGCCTCGGGGCTGAGCGGGCACTGGTCTGCCTCACAGCCACGGGATGCCCAGGCCAGCTGCAAACACCCGTCTTACAAAAGAGGCCACCAGGCCACCTCGCCAGGTGTTAATGCCTCCTGCCTTCAGAGGCTCAGGGCCAGGACCTTCCAAAACAGCCACACCTGGGCCCCATTCCGCCCTCACAGCCCCGGGGCAACAGTTCTGGTCTCTGACGGGCTCTGCAAATGACCTCTCACCTCTCAGCTGGGCTCCTGCTTTGTTACCAGACTCCTAATGAATCTACAGCAACAGGAATCACTTGGGTGCCATCCCTGGTGAGTCAGTGTCCCCCCTCCCCCAGTGGCACGCATGACACAGACTGCCCAGGGTTCAGGCGTCCGAGCGTCACTGCCCACCTGGCAATGGCTAATTTATCACCTCGATTACTGGCATGTGCCTGGAGGCCATGCAGGTTGTCGCTCAAACATCTGGCAGTTGTTTACCTCCCCAGCTGCCTAACAGTTGGCAGCCCTCTGCCCTCACCTCCCTTAGCCTCCCGCGGAAAGAGACCCAGCCCCTCACCCGCACTTTCCCCTCCTGCGTGGGAGATGCGTCCGAAGCAGCCTGGCTCAGCCGCTCTGTGCGGCCCGTTCTGCTCCGCTGCGGGCCATCCCTAGGTAGGCACCCAGCTTTGGAGCTGGTCTGACTCCTCTCTTTGACCCTGCCTGCCGCCTCTTCTCGTCATCGATCTCCCACAGGCCCCTCCTGCGTCTCCTTCTCTGCACAAAGGTCCTGCCATCTCCTTTACCTTTTAAGCACATTCTTTTGCCTACAGGTGTGTTCCTCTCCCAGGTACAGCGGCTTTGGACACCCCTGGTCACTTTCCTGCCAAGTCATTCTTCCCAAGAACTGCCTGAAGTACAGGAGCACATACGTCCCACCCAGGGCTTCTCCAATGGGTGCAGGGAAGTCTCCGGTCAGGGAGTTAATACATCAGCAAAATGGATTCAAATTTCAAAGTACCTTCCTGGCTGACAGTGAGGGCTCTCCAAGGGATTCTCCCAAATGGATTCACCTCTTTTTCTCACAGATACCCACTCTTTTCCCACCCCCCTCAACCCTAATGCCTCTGACTTACCTTCTTCAATAGCATCAACCTGACCTTCTAAATCAGCACCCAGAGGTTCCAGGGAATTCCCATGACTAAGGCAATCTGCTCTTTGCACTGTCCTCTCCGTCCTGGGTCTCAGCTCTGCTGCTGGTACCCACCGGCTCCCGTCCCTCGCCCCTCCTGCAAGCAGACCCCCAGCAGCAGTGGCAGCCCCTGCTAATCACCAAGCATTGCCTAGCACCAGGCACTGCGCCAAGCACTTCATGTATATGATTCACCTGCCCTTAGTTTAGCTTTCTGAGCCCTCACTAACCTGGGGTAAAGCACCAAGGCTGGAGAAGCAGCTTTAAAGTAAGAGCTGCATCAACGCCGACTCCTCCGGACGCCCTGACTTGGCGTGTCCTGCCATCTCTGTCCCCTTCTAATCCCCACTCACTCGTGCCTGTGCCTTCTTGACCCTGAACATACAACCTTGTTTTTACACTAAGAAGTAATACTTCATTTTAAAAACTGCACATTTTCCTAAAGAGCTCTGAATTTCTGACGGTTTGGGGTTAAGGATGACACATGTGTTTGGAGCCTTCCTCTGCTTATTACTAGCTTTGTGATTCTGGCTGTTGTTTCTTTAAGCTGCTGAACCTGTTCCCTCATTTATAAAGTGAAAATAATACAGACGGTGCAGATTTTTTTTAATTGCAGAAATTATGCGTGAAGTACTTACCCATGCCCAGAACCTAGTAGATGGGATACAAATATCCCCTTTGTCCAAAAATACTTACTTTGTCCCTTGCAGTGGGTGGATATGAAAGATTCCTTTGCTGTCCTATCTTCCTTTCTCACTGCAAGGTCTCCCCCAAAAACCAGGGGAAAACTCTCCACATGGAGAGCAACACAGAGACCTCTTAGCGGCAGCTACCTGAGGGCTTTGCCACACGCATCATATAGGTTGTCCGTTCCGCCCCCGGCATCCCTCGGTGAGCTCACAAGGCTTCGAGCTTGCTCACCAGGTGCAGGGTCTTCTCGGCTGCAGACTACCCAGATGCTGCCCAGCACATGACCAGAGCAATGATCCTGGCCCGGCAGCATTGACTTCATCTGGAGCTTGTTAAGAATGCAAATGTCAGGCCCTGCGAAGTCAGAAAGCCTGGGGGTGGGCCGGGCGAGCTCCCTTCTATCCCTCCCTCCAGGTGATGCTGATGAAGGCTCAAGGTGGAGAACCGCCGGCTGAGACACCACCATGGCACCCCCTCCCAGCAGGCTCGGTGGTGGCGGCCCCACCAGTATGGCCACCCTGCTGCGAGGCCCCTTCCCGAGGAGGGCAGTTGCCGCGTCTCTGTACCAGAAGCATCCTTCCAGCCCATCCTGGCTGCATCCCTCCCTGCTGCTCTGGCAGAGCCCAGGGCTGCAGACACCCAGGAGCCCAGCAGGTGCGCTTGCTGTTGCTCAGAACAAAGCTCGTTGTCCCCTGCACCCAGCACCCCCCCTTCACTCATCCTGAGGCGGGCAAGGCGCCTCCCACCTGCACCGGGCGTGCTCTCATTCAGCAGGAGTGGAAGAGGTCAGTGCAAGGTGCTGTTGGTGACCACACACACCGGGCGCCCCCTCTTCCAGGTGCACCTGTTCCCCGCAGCCCCGGGAGCCCGGCTGACCAAAGGCTGCAGTACAGTTCTCCCACGTCAGCCGGAAGCAGGGGTAGGCCGGGGCACAGAACTCCCGTGGGGATGAACTGCAAAGGATGCACACCCCCCTCCCTCCACAGAACGCGTTCCCCACCAAGGTGGGGGATGACCTCTTCAGCTGAAATCCAACGGACCCACCCCATCAGAAGCCTCACATTTCCTCCTGCCTCACACCCGAACCCCCAGGGGCTCTTCCACCGCCCCCGCCAGCACCCCGACCTCGCCACCCGCTGTTGCCTCCCGCACCCCACTTGGGAGAAACTCACGGGCCATGTTCAAGATTAGCCAGCGGCTGACTCCGGGGACCACAGATCTGACAGGTGGGCAAGTCACAAACAAGGCTGGCCCAAGACCACGCAAGAGAACTGCTGGGATGATTCCATTCTCAGTGTTTCATCTGGAAGTCTGAGCGCTAAAAACTATGGAGTCGACAACATAGCCAGGAGGGGTGGTGACCACTTCCTGTGCTCTAACCCCTCCACTATCCACTAAGAATCTCTGCCTCCGCCCTCTTTCTCCCCAGCTTTCCCTTCAGTTCCGTGGGCCACCAGCGTCCTTCCAGTGAATTAATTAAAGGAGCCCAGGTAGGTTTCTCTTGCCACAAAAAGCTT